ATAATCGAAGTGATTATGTATTCCAAAGCTATATTAGATAGATTAGGTAGGTAGGTAAGTAGATAGATAAGTAGATAGATAAGTAGATAGATAAGTAGATAGAAAAATAGGTAGATAGAAAAGCAGATAGATAGGGAAGTAGTAAATAAGTAGAGCTAAGTAGGAAAGTAAATAGATAATATGACAGAATTACCCTCGAAAAAGTCTCGAAAAAGTCTCGGAAAAGTCTCGGAAAAGTCTCGGAAACGTCACGGAAACGTCACGGAAATGTCATAGTTATGAAATTAATTCAAATACACGTATATACAAGTTCTTGGAGAAAAACAACGATGAGAATGGTGAAAGTCCAAAACATTCATCAGGGAAAGATGGTAAATCTTGTGTAACAAAGTGTCAAGCAATGAGAAAAAAAATTTTCCTACGTGTCAAAAATTGGCTAATGCAATATAGCCAACATCTGGGGATCCCTGTATCTCATGGTCATCTGAACCATTAACGCACATTACCATTGTAAACATTGTAATGGCATTGTGGTAGCATTGTGGTGGCATTGTAATAACATTGTACATATGCCCGAGAAAATAAAATAGCGCTTTTACGCGTTCCTAAAAAGAAAAAAAAAAAACTGGTTAAAAAAAAAATTGATTTTTTTTTCTTCCGGATTATTCTATACTTCTATATACTTTTATATACCTCTATATACCTCTATATACCTCTATATACCTCTATATACCTCTATATACTTCTATATACTTTTATACTTCTTATATTTCTTATATCTCTCATACTGTATTTCTGTTTAAACCAATTGACAGTATTCTAAATGTTGGCTAAAAATCCATGTTCAGTCTCTTATTCTTTGTTACTCTTTCATGATCAATAATCTATTTTCATTGTTCATTGTAACTGCAGTGCCCTCGTGCCTAACTTGATAGTATTAAGATGCATGCAGCATTTTTGTCTTTTCTGTTGAAATACATTCTAATACATTTTTTTTCTTTCATTGTCTTTACCGGTTGTTGCACAAGTTTTCACTAATATGTCATTAAACAATCTAATTTACAAAACAATAACAATTTTACAAATACAGCCGAAGAAGCCGTAACAAAAACAGGCGTTTGGCTGACGTTCTTGTTGATTCAGAAAAAAAAAAAAAAATTTTTTTTTTATTTTTTTTTTACTCAGTATAACAAACATGTAAACAAACCAAATAGGAATTATAAACAACAATGTGAACGAAGAATCTTTTTTCTTTGGTGGCTAGTTGACAAGTTTAAGTATTTAATGACGGGGTTTGGAACGTGTTTTCGAAATTGTGCCTTCGACTTCGAGATCAATCTCTTATATATATATATGAAAAAAAAACTAATCCACTAAATTTTTTTAAATCCCAAGAGTGATCCATGGAAAAGATTTTTTTTTTTTAATTACATATGTTTTGTTCTTAACCGTAATTATCTTGAAACATGTTAACTTTCCGTAACAAGTTCATGTTCTAAAAATCTTTTTTGCATTCCCCACCTTTCCCCCCACGAATGCGATAATCGCAGTTCTACGATCACTCCTCATATGGTTATAAACCGATCATTACTTTTCTCCATATGTTTAATGCTCCACATCCTATAAAATCGCACGGACATATCATTTACAATGAAATGCTCCATGAAAAAAAGATTTATGCTAACATTTGATCCATTTGATACGCCCTATTCTTATCAAATGGTATCTCGTCTTATTACCTTCCATATAGGAAAACATCAAATTCTAACCTTACCTGGTTTGGTTTAAGGGGGTGTTATAATAAGATTTATCTATTATGTTAATCCCTATTATAAAAAAAATCTCATGATAATTAATAATGTAACAACTGATTATGACGAACAATCTTTTCTAAAAAGTATTATTATATTCTTACCTATCGCTGTTACCAAAATTCTCTTTTTTGGGCTTCGTGAGATTAGTATTTAGTTACTTTATATAATAGTTATCAATTAATTGCATAAGACAACACACGCACAACAGGTCCACTTTTTTTTTTCCTTTGATCTTCTTTTAATCTCACAATCTATATTTCGTAAATTCGTGATCTCGTAAAGATCACCAGGGTGCGTACTATGTCAGAAAAAAAAAAAAAAACATTGAAAAAAACATTGAAAAAAAAACATTTGGTATCAAATAAGAATGATGGGAATTCCTTGTTACGATTTTTTTTTCTTTTTAATGTGTAATTAGTACGAAAAGAATCATGTTCATTTTTTGACGTACGTACGTACCTGATGGTAATGGATGATGACGACAATCGATTATAATTATCATGAGTTATAAGATTTTTATTATTATGATTGAGTAAAACGTAATGATTGGATATGTTATCGACGGTATCGGTGGTATTCGGTGGTATCGAAAGAGTGATTACGTCGTCACATCGAAAAGGCACCCCTCTTTCAACGAACCACAAATTTATGATTGATCTCGAAGAAAAAAAAAAAAAAAAGATTTTATTCAGTATCACTCGTTATTGATGCGTCAATGCGACTTTCGTTGCCATGCCGAACGCGTATAAATCGATTTTTTTTTTTTTAATGTTAGCTATGTTTGTCCGTTGTCCCGATCGTATTTACCCGCAACCGCAAAAATTTAGAAATTCGCCGCCCGATTATTATCCAATACTTTTTTTTTTTTTTATTCTTCATCGATGTAATATATATTGTTTTTTTTTTTACGCACGTGCATGCGTTTCGCTTCTAAAACTTATAAAATTTTATTATATACTTACTTGCATAAGCACTTTTTAAAGAAAAAAAAGGTCGTTAAATTTATTTTTTCTTTACGCGCGTTTATATTCAACTTGCATAACAAAAAAAAAAAAGACATTTTTTTTTTTAAACACTTTTTCACTTTTTTTTTTTAATAATTAATTAGTTTCGATTTTTTTTTTTTTGTTGCTCACGAACTTTATATATGTAAAAAATTTCCCTCGAAAAATAAATTGATTAAAACAAAAAAAAAAAAAAACAAAAAAAAAGTGAACAAGGAAATTTTATTAATCATTTTATTTTATTATCCTTTTTTTTTAAAAAAAAAATTTTTACATTTTGGTAGCATTTCGACGATACATAATAATAATAATAATAATCGTAATAATAATCGTAATAATCGTTAAACCAAACTTTCGGTTTTTATACCGAGAAACCACGCTCTTTCATCGCAATCGGTTGTTGTTGTTATATTTTTTTTAAAAAAAATGTGTAGAGAAAGAAAATTATTATTATTATTATTATTTTATGTATATTTATTGCTGCTTTCTAAAAAAAAATCGAGAAAAAAAGAGAAAAGAAAATGATAATAAAATTCCAAGTGTTTAAAAAAAAAGATTTTTAAATGAAAAAAGTTAAGGGAAGAGTTAAGTAATAAGTGGGAGAGGGAGGAGGGATTTTTGATCTAATTTCTGCTTGTTTGAAAAAGTGCTTGTTGAAAAAAAGTCTTATGCACATATGTATATATATATATATGTATATAAAATATAAAATATAAAATATAAAATATAAAATATAAAATATAAAATCGAAGACGAGGTTTTCTATATAATGGATGTATATATAAGCGTGAATGAAGATTTTTTTTTTTTATTTACTTAGTAATTTTTCGTTATTTTTTTGTCTTTATTTTACAGATCAAATATACCAACTATGTAATTTAGAAAGATATATTTTATAATATATATGTATAGAAAGGATTTGAAAGTTCATGTTTTTTTTTGTTTTTTTTTTGTTTGATAAAAACTTGAAGAGAATGAATTAATGATTTTTTTTTGGTAATAGACGCGTAAAATTGTTGGAGTTTATGAACGAAAACGAAAACGAAACCTAAGCTTATAACGAAAGTAACAAAGTCGTAATGTTTAAATAATGTGTTATGGATAGCATATATAATATATATAAATATAATAATAGTTATACTGTATATAAGGTAATTTTTAAAAAAGTTGGTTTTTTTTTAAGAGGTGGATGGTGTTATATATAAAGACTTGTTACTAATTTCGTAAAGAAAAAAAATGTCATTATTTTTTCATAGGGTGAACGCGTCTGAATAATCAAGAAATTTTTTTTTACAATGTAATGTTTTTTTTTCTTAATTAATTAATAAATTCTCAGCACAGCAAAACTCAATGTTTTGCTCTTATCAAACCCTTAAATGAAATGATAAATATCTTAAGAAAAAAATTTTTTCAAATCCTTCTTTAAATTTAAAACAATCATAAAAAGAAAATCTTTGTGCTATGTAACAAGGAAAGGGAAATAGAGAAAAATCTAAAATATTATATACAGATGAAAAACGATAATGAAATATATAAAAAAAAAAACAAATGAAAAATGTGTTAAAATGATAATTGGTGAGGAGAAATTTCTATATATAAGAAAAATAGGTACAAGAACAAAAAAAAAAGAATGTATATATATATAAAAATGAATATAGAAAATATAGAACGTAAATGAGTACCCACCCACGGTCTAACTTTTAATTCGCAAGTTACGAACATTATTTACGAACATTATTTAACGAGAGAATTCGTATCTCTGTTAAATTCTGTTATCATATTTGATATTTGTTTTGGTTTTTGCCCACCCAATATTGACAAATAAAACCATGAATAATATATGTTTAAAAAAAAAAAAATGAATGAATTTTTTTTTTTTTTAATATATATACACATATAATGATATATATATATAAAATGATATATATGATAAATATGCAAAACGATATATAAATTATTGAAGGTGGAAAAATTGAAAAAAAAACGACGAAAAAAATAAAATAAAAAAACGTGATATAGTATTTCCAAAGATACCAAATATTTTTAATACCTAAAAGGAGGTAAATTTTGATATTGACGACCATAATCGAAAGTATTTGCGTTGTTATTGAATATTCCAAAACAGGAACTATTAACACCGATTGAACCAGTGGTAGAAGTAACAGTAGGAACGGTGTTATTATTGTTCGTAAGTGGTGGTAAGGCTCTGGCCCTTGGAGAAAATGTCGGATCATTAACTATATCACTGATACGATTCGATAATACGGGGGGTGTCATAATAGTAAAATTAGAATGACATTGGGGTTTCCATTCATAATTTTCGATACTCATTCTACCAAATCCTGGAAGAAGAGCATTATTTACTGTTGTTTGGGCATGGAAAGAATCAGAATCGCCCAAAGGACCCAAAGATGGTGATGGTCCAGGACTGATATTAGGTGTATGAACAGGAGTTGGTATGAAATCATGTTCTTCATCGGATCCATTGTCATTACACATTTGAGGTGAAGGCACCTGACCATCAAAAACAACGGCAGTTAAAGGTGGACTCATCAAAGAATTATTGTATTCATTATTATCATTAGAAATAACTCTTTTTGGGAAATGATCATGCAAAGAGAAATCCAATGTAGGAGGATGTTGCGCGACAAGATTATTTATGCCTTGAACACGAGGATAATCCATGGTAGGAATATTGATGGAAATAGATGAATGTGGCAAATGAACAGGATGATGAATTTGATGAACCGGATGAAAAGCAGAATTATTTCCATCGATGGAACCAGCCGAGCTAGTGCTAGAAGAACTAGCATTAGAACTATTACTATTACTACGAGACCGGAAAGCATTATTTTTGAATTCAACAGTCATTTTTTGTTGTTGCTGTTTCCGTTTATCCTTTTTATTTGTGTTTGAATGAATACGTTTATGACGAGTCAATTCATCAGATCTAGAAAATCGTTTTTCACAACCAGGAAAATCACAATGATGAGGTTTTTCACCAGTATGAGTACGAATATGACGAGTTTGATGTTCCAATCTATAAAAACCCCTATGGCATATGTTACATTTATAAGGTCTAGGAGCATTTTGCCTGTCTACAGACGCGTTAGAACGCCTTCTTGAAACGGAAGAAGTTGAAGTTGAAGAAGGTGGTGGTGGTGGTGGGGGATTGGACATTGACATAGAAGGATCATGAGCTGCATCGTACAAATGGGTGAAATTTGGTTGCATATAAGAGTGATTTGGGGTAGGATGCAAAAGATTTGATAAAGATAAAGCTGCTGCCATGTTTTTCTTTTTTTTTGATTAAAAAAAAAAGACAATTTCTTTAAATCTTGAAATAAAAAAATAGAATAATTTCGAAAGTCAAAGACTCAAAAAAAATCGAGAAGTCGTTAAGTAGAAAAAATAAAAAATGCCAGAAGCATAAGAATTAAGAGAAGAGGAAGGATTAAAACTTATACTTTAGGCTGATTTAAAGAATTTACGGAGATATTTAAGTACTCGTAGGGTGGCAAAAATTGAATACGGAAATCATACGGAAGAAAGTTGAGAGGAAAGTAAGCTTTATATAAAATTTCAATTAATAAAAATAATAATAATGGCTTCATAAAAAAAAAAAAATGTCAAATAATCAAATAGGGCGTGTCTGGTGTGACAAGAACCTGAAATTAACATGTGAAATACTACGCCCTTTTGGTGAATGTTTTTAGTGAAAATTGAATGCTACACAGAAAAACAATACATGCATTAAACTGATGAAAGGGTACACAAAAGTTAAAAAAGAGGTAAAAAATAGCCCAAGTAACCAAATATATGTGGACATTACAATTATAATGACATGTGTGTTATCTTTAAGATCAAAAAACTTTTATACAATAATAATCAAAGTTATGTTTGTCACTGTGAACCGTTCCAACTTATCCATAAAAGGACTGCCCCACATTACAAATGTATTTGAGAAAAAACGGGTATAATTAGGAATTTCAAATTTATATTCTTTTTGAGAGAGAAAAAATGTAAAAAAGAATATAATTTTCAAGGATTGCATGAATTGCATTACATGAATAGTACAATCATAAATTATGATATCGGTTAATATCGATTACATAGCATAATAGTATAGCATTAGCATAGTATGTAGCATAGAATAGCATGTAGAATAGTATGTAGTGGTAGTATGATTACATATTACACAGTAATATAGTATAGTAGTATAGTAGTATAGTAGCATAGTACGTAGTATAGTAGCATAGTACGTAGTATAGTAGTATAGTAGTATAGTAGTAGTATAGTAGCGATAGTATTAAATTATATATATTAACGTTATTTATTGACATTATTTATTGACGTTATTTATTAACGGTATTTTATTAACGTTATTTGTTTATTATATTATTGACATTATTTAAAATAAATAAAATAAATAAAAAAGATAGATAAATAAACGAAATTAGCGAGATTAGCGAAAATAACAAAGGAAATTAACAAATAAAAAAACTGATGACATCTATTTGATTACATATCATTGATTACATGTATTACATATGATTCCAATATAATGATTTAATATAAAATAAGAAACATAAGAAAAATAAGAAAAAATAAAAAAAATAAGATGAATAAGATGAACGGCAAAGAATATGCAGAAGATGCAACATGATACGACAGGATACGCAGAATGCATCCGCCATACGACCCTAAACAATCTAAAAAATAAAAATCTAAAAATATGTGCATAGAATACACGATATATGTAACATATGAATGCTATCACAAATTCATATTGATAGGATTAAAAAAATGACAGTTCGTGATGTTAGGCTTTCCATTTCGGTAATTAATCGTGTTAGGCCACGTTTTTTCATTTACGATTTCCAAGTGGAGAGATCACAAACAAAAAATCGAAACGTCTAAAAATTGAATTAAAAAAAAAATCACTTTATACCTCCGCATGTAGTCACAATATGGACACAAGAATTAGTCACCATTTATGAATACACGCATTTAATCAATATCATACCCTGTACTTTTTGCAATGATATATAAGGTTAGAGTAAGAACGAATGTTGACAATCGATCATGGTCAAGAACAGTTGACAGGTCACACATGTTTACCATTGATAACAAATAAACAATCGTAAATTTTGGGTTGATTATATTATTTAACTATTGGGTTTCAAGTGACGTTAACGTAGATCTAATAAATTTAACAAATCTATTATTGTATTATTGATGATCAACTACTGTGTTAATACTGTGTTGATGTCAATTTCACGAGTTTAAGGAACTATCAAAATTTTGATCCTTTTATTTAAGAATACCGGTTATATTTCATGTTATTCATGTTATCGTACATCAAATACGTATCGCGCGACCGATCACAAAAGTTTGACAGCTTTTTTTAACGTTAATTTTATTTTATATTATATAGGTAATATTGTAAATAATATAATGTAAAATAATATAATGTAAAATATTTTGTAAAATATCAATACTATATTAATACTATATTACGTACACTGTACGTATATTGTACGTATGTTAAATTGTACGTATTAGGTATGCTAAATTATATAATATAAATATTTATTTATTTATTTATTTACAACTTTATACCATTTATAATATCGTTTATAAGTTTATATAATATCATTTATAATATCATTTATAATATCATTTATATTATCGTCGTTATTACTATATAGTATTTCTACTAACATTACTCTAGTATTATTACTCTAGTATTATTACTCTAGTATTATTACTCTAGTATTATTACTCTAGTATTATTACTCTAGTACTCTAGTATTTCTACCAGCATTACTACTAGTATTATTAGTATTATTACTATTCATTAGTCACTATTTTATTATTAATTAAAATTATATAATTAATTAATTAAATGCCGTCAAAAATACTACTGTATTACTCATATTAATTACTTATATTACTCTTGTTTCCTTTTATTTTAGGGTTATTAAAGCATGTAAGTTAATATATGCTGTGTAATTTGATTGGTTTTTTTTTTTATGTTAAAAAGTATCAATTGAACTCATATGAAAAATCCGCATTAATCACAACTTCTTGACATTAAAATATTCCGGTATTTCTCACACTGATCGTCATTAAAGAGGAACAATTTCTTTATTTCTCTGTCTATGCTAGTATATGCTAGTATTATGCTGGTGTGTGTATGCTAGTGTGTATATGCTATGTATGCTATGTAATTACAATCTCTTTTTTCAAAGAAAAATTGTCATGTGAAGATCTTGAGAGTGTGAACAATGTTGTATATTCAAGACGTCCCTTTCTTACAGCTAAAGAAAATTATGCAGATGATCATTTTCCTATGCATATCATGTGTTTTTTATGTATCATTATGCATTTGTGAAAATATGTAACGTTGTGCAATTGCACAAATTTGACTTTAATGATAAGTACGCCAAGGTGTCATCAGCATCCGTGGATTTCATGGATGTCGTGTGATCACTTCAAACTCACGATATTTAGCACGATGTAAATAGCGCGATACATAATTGATATACATATTATATATATTGTATATAATAATTGATCTCAATAATATATAATTGATAAGAAGCTGATATGAAGATAACAAAATAAAATTCATACATACAGTACATGTACGTATGTATATCTGGTATTAAAATTGTTATTTCAAAATTGTTGTTTTAAAATTGTTATATCAGTATATTGTTATTGATTTTCAAAGTACTTGAATAAAATACGCTTTAATATACTAATTACACTAAATATACTAATTACACTAAATTCACTAAATACAATAATTACAATAATTACAAAATATATTGAATATATTACATATGCTACTTACCTGATTGATTTTCAGATTCCTGATTTTCAAATACTTGATTTTTCCGTTAATTCGTTTTACTCCTCATAATTGCCTTTATCGTAATAGTATACCTCACGTTTTTTATGAACAACAATATATATCTATTCATCTTCTTTTAATCTTGTTTCGGAAAATTGAAATGACACCTAAAGTTGGTTGCTTCCAAAGTTAGTTGGTCCTGATATGCTATCATTACTCTTCATTAATTTAATCTCATGAAATGTTTGTAATTGCTTGTAATGCGCTTGTAATGCTTTTTAAAAATGCCGTAATGCTTGTGTATGTAGTTAAAACAATGGGTTTTTCTTTTTGATATCCTGCTGTAGTAATCCTTTGTATTCTTTTCGTTGTTCATGTTCTCCACACAAACAATATCCCATTTTTTCTTTTTCCCCCCACAATTACTTGTGATAATTTTTGTTACAACTTTTCTAATATGGTCATATCTGCTGTCATTCAAATCCCTGCTCTTTTGAGTAACGGTACACTTATTACACGTGCATGTGAAATATACGTAATAAGATACGTAATAAGTACTCTAGATTTCGGTTGCACCGTATTGACTATTTTAGTATTCTCGAACAAAGGAACAATGGGTCTGAATTTTTAAAAATAATCCGTTTCTTTTTATTAATTGTTACGTTTATTCTCTTGTAATCTTATTTTTTTACTTTTCTATTGTTCGTTTTCCCGCCTGGTTTTCACCTATTTTTATGAATATCTCTTCTCTCTAAAGATTGTTAAAGATTGTCTTTTGTATGTCTCGTATGTTATTATGTATTAATACTGCTTTAAAAGGTTCTGTGCGATCTTCCTGATAAAGTACATGCGTGTACCAATCAATTTTTACTAGTTATACGCTTTCGGTAATCATGTGTGGAGGCGTAAATCTCCTAATTTAACTTTTCTAATTTTTAAAGTTCATCCTCATTTTCTATCTCTGAACTCTCCTTGAATCTTTGTTAACGTTAAACTTTAATCTTTTTCTCGGTTATGCGACTTATTCCCAGGAACCATACGTCTTATTTGGTACTCCCAAATATTTATGCAAAATTATTTCCAATTCTTGATGCAAATCCTTTATCTAACTCTGTGTTTTTAAACTTTTATTTATTTCAATACAATTTAAATCCAATTTTAAATCCAATTTGTTACACTTCGTTATATTTTGTTACACTTTGTTATATATTTTGTTACAGTTTGTTAATACTTGAAATCTTATTTGCTCTAAAACATCGGATGACTCTTCATTTATTTAAAATTATCAATTTAGGGTAATCTATTTGTTACTCGGGCTTTTTTTTTCTCACTGGTTTTTGATCTACTGTTCTTTTTGGTCTATATGGCTGCTTAATTTTTTATTTATATGCTGTCAACCCTATTTTGGTCTTTTCTGTCACTTTAAGAT